ATCTGAATGTTCAAAACAAACAATTTTTAACATCACAAAAATAACCTTCTGCAAATAGAATGTACACTGAAATAGCAGGGAGGAATTTCTGGGAGACTAAACCAACAGGTGACTTAGTACATCAGATCATAATACAGTACACTTTGAGGGTACAATATTTGAGAAACCTGGTATCTGGTTTAGCAATTAAACCAGACAGAAGGTGAGAAAAAAATGGATAGATACAATGAAATTATATTCCAGGCAATTAATTCCAGAAAACCACATTCAGAAGAATTATTGTACTTGTAGTACTATAAACAAATACAATCTAGAAAAACTGACATAATCCAGTTTTAGCTATTTAGAACAATGCAATATTCTATTTTCACAGCAAGGTGCTAAATTAACTCCTCTAAGTGTGCCATCATGGCTATAATTCACATGATGCAACAAGGCAGTTAAGATGTACTACAGTAATTTGTGCATTTTTTCAGTAGTACTATGGTATCAAAAACTGATATGATTCAGTTACTAAGACAAATTGTTTCACTCATACAGAAGCTCTCTGACAGCAAATAAAGTCCTTCCAAATTACAAATGAAATATATGCTGCGTGTGCTCAGTTGAATAAGAGACATTGTTTCTCTTATTTTCTTTTCTTGAGTAGTGTCGGAAGGAGAAATGAAAATATATCAGCCAGAAGAACAAGAAATGTTTAATCCTACTTGGAGTAAAGAACCCAAACCCTCCTCTAGGCTCATGTTGAAGGTAGTTGAACTTCTTTGAAATCTTTTGCCCTGAACAGAATATCCATATTCTTTCAAGAGATGCAATCAAACCCTTACTTACCCTTTGTCCTTCTGATCTTTAACCAATCTTTTAACCCAGAAGAAAAGATTAAAGGAGAAAACCCTTGAAAAAACTACTTTGGGAAATGTTCCTGGAGATTTAAGTAAATTCCACCATGAACAAGAGAACAGAGGGAAAATCTCAACTGAGGTTTTACTTTTATGAGTAAACAGTTATGGACAATGTTAATAAAACAGCCTCCATTCTAGATGACCTAATTAATTAATTCTACATTTCAAGAAGGGCACCAATTTACCTAAAGGAAATCAGAGCAAGGACTACAATCTAACACATTATCACAAAATAGACAATATATTGGTGGTGAGCAGAGGTGGGTTCCTACCACTTCGGACCGGTTCAGCTGAATAAGTAGTAACTCGGCCAGACACGTGCCCGAACCAGTTATATCCACGGCAGCACCATCTTGATTTTCTGCTCTGTACATGCGCAGAACAATCTTCATTGAAAAAATATGTATGTTCCACTTTTTTTAATGTTCTGTGCATGCACAGACCTTTTTAAGTACAAGTGCAAATGCGCACATGCGTTGAGTGCAAAATTATTCAGGCGCCAAACCAGTAGTAATGCCTGTAGGAACCCATCCCTGGTGGTGAGGGATATATCACGGAAACGCATCAAGGATGGCATTGATTTAATTCAAAGTTTTGTTTTTTAATGACTAATAGGGGGCTTGTCCACCCTGATGCTTTAAACTGCTTGACCCTCATGCATAAACCAGCTGGACAAGAAGTTTGATTAAGAAATCCTTTTCTAGATTTCCACTCTTTGTTCTGTTTTACCATGACAAGTATCTGACGTTCTGCTTACAGAACATCATTTTATAAATGTAAAAAAGGGGGGGAAGGGACAGTTTTTCATTATTCTATTAGTGAACTTATTAAAAAAAATAGCCACGAAGAGCAGAAAGCAACAGTGACTAGAGAACAGAATAGAATAGAATAACAGAGTTGGAAGGGACCTTGAAGGTCTTCTATTCCAACCCCCTGCTTAGGCAGGAAACCCTACACCACTTCAGACAAATTGATATCTTAAAAACCTCCAGTGGAGCATTCACAACTTCTGGAGGCAAATTGTTCCACTGATTAATTGTTCTAACTGTCAGGAAATTTCTCCTTGGTTCTAAGTTGCTTCTCTCCTTGATTAGTATCCACCCATTGCTTCTTGTCCTTCCCTCAGGTGCTCTGGAGAATAGTTTGACTGCCTCTTCTTAGTGGCAACCCCTGACATATCGGAAAACTGCTATCATGTCACCCCTAGTCATTCTTTTTCATTAAACTAGAGATGCCCAGTTCCTGCAACCATTCTTAGTAGTGAAAGTGCTTACTTAGAATGAAATGAAAGCAGCAAGCAAATTCAGCAGGATATATTGGGTTGGAATAGCTGGAAAACACTACTTCTGACTCATAGTAGAAGTGAAAAGATGAAAGTTGACTTCTTAGTGGGCTTGGACAAACAAAGGGTAATGTCTAGTTTGTTCTAGGCACCAAGCTAGAAGGGAAGAGAGTGTAAGTTGCGGACTTGGGAGTCCTCCTGGATCCGCAGCTGTCATTTGACCACCACCTAACGGCTGTGACCAGGGGGGCATTCGCCCAGGTTCGCCTGGTGCGCCAG